CTAAAGAAAACAAGAAAGGTACCATGTACAGTACTTCTTATACAAGAAGAATCGTTTTGGTAAAACAAAAATATCTGATATAAATGGCCATGTGCCAGTGTAGGCAGTGCCAATAGTGGAGGAGGCTTCGGATTGTGTACACCTCTTGGCAGCCCTGTAATTAAGGTGGCATAATATTTAGAAACATTCTTTTATGTTCTGGGATCATTTTCACTTAACCGGAGGCCTCAAGGAAGATTGAGTTCTGTGTACATACCTGTACCATAGGATCAGATTTAGCCAATCTTTTCAGACCTTCAACCAGTTTTGGCAAGTCAGCTGGGTTTTTGGGTTCAACAGCAATACGCACGACAGGCGATACACTGAATTTCATGACCTAATACATTATACATACATACTGTAGATAAGTTGATATCAAATGCTTAATATGCTACAGTGTAGATCTGAATTGCAAATGCATACATACTGTATAAATTAAGATTAGAATTTCAATATAATGTGTTTATCTAAATTTGTTTGTAGTTTGTAATTTTGATTAGAGCATTTAATTTCTTCACTGAGATTTTAATCTTACAATAATTCAAGTCTCTGTGTGTAATCCCTGAAGATCTTATAACGTACCTTCAAGTTATGAGCATCCGCATACGTTGTGATTGTTCCAGTTTTCACAAGGTACTGATCAACACCGACAAGACCGACAATGTTACCACAAGGAACATCTTCAATTGGCTCAATGTAACGACCCATCATCAAGATAGTCCTGTAAACATGCTGCTTTTAAGAGCTGCTCTCGGTTGATTGATTCATTTATTATTAGTAGTAAAATTGTCTGGCATTAGACAGAGTGCCTCAACTACGATTACGATTAGCATTTCTATAGCGCACATTAACATGTGCATGATATGATCAAATGCGCTTTACATCAAGTATTACACTTACCTAATCACATACTTAGCCTAGACTATTTTATCTTTACAACAATTGTGATATCACTTTCTTAACTGTGCTTATCCTAACCCACCCTGTACACTTTCCCTGCGGGAGGAAACCGGAACACCCGGAGAAAACACACGACTTTCAGCAGAGCGTTGACTGACTCTTTTCACATGAGTCCTTAGCGAGAATCGAACCCACGAACTCAGAGGTGAAAGGCGCTTGCTGTGACAATTGCCCCACCGAAGTCCAACTAGACACATAGTGAGATTAATATGTACACTATGTGCATACGTCACATCATCGACTTTGGCCCATAGCCCTACTTTCCATGGAGGTCGTGAGTGAAACTGCACCTCCCCTAAAATTTCCACCTCCCCCACAATTTCCACCAAAATCCCACCTCCACTTGAACCACTACCCCCGATACTCGCTAGCGGAAGTGAAAACCCTAATAGGTTTTCTAAATTATTAAGCAAATTTAGTGAAATTTAGCTCAGAAAATTTTAAGAAATAAACAACAAAAGCATGAGAAAATCTTACCTCTGAATAGGTTTGTTATACAGATCTTCCTTCTTGCCTGGGACGTAGTTGGGTCCCATAATTCTAACTTTCTGTCCAGTTCCCACAATACCAGAGAAGACACGTCCAAAAGCATAGAAACGACCTTTGTCGTTGGTTGGCACCATTTTTGAAACATACATACACAATGGTCCCTGATGAAAGAAACATAATTAATACCATACATAACCCCTTTTGAGATATTCCTAAAATAGGCTGTTGCAATATATTGATAAATATTAAATATCTTTTTCTAAATATTATTGGTTATTCGGTATTTGGTTTTTCGTAATATAGATATACCAAAAATATTGATATACCAACAGAACAGCATTCACATAAAATTTTTCATGGTGTGCAAAAACTTTAAAGTTCTGAGTAGTCGGTAGTTGTTTTTGTATGAAGTTTCATCTATCAATTATGTGTCAACAGTCATGAAATTTCCTGAATATTGAATAACATGGAAAGTAGGATTGTGTTTGTGTAGTTTGGCAAAAATCAGGTTTAAGATTTAGCTACTACTTTTTAGAGCAGAAAAAATATCAACATTATTTTTCAATTTAGTTGTTTATTTCAATTCCACAACAACCATTTTAAAAGATACCTACCTTAGGATCACAGTTCTTGATACCCAAAGCAACAGGGTCATCTTGAGGTCCTTCATACAACATTTCCATACGGTACTTCTGAGCGGTAACAGGCGATGGCAAATGAATGGTTATCATCTGAAGCAGAGCATCACCAGCTTGGAGCCATGTTCTCATCACAGCTTTCAGTAATTTCTTGCCTTCTTCTTCCTGTATTTGAAAAACAGGGTCAACTTACAGCCCTTGAAAACAAGGTTGGCATTTGATCTTAATCAAGTGGAACTATCTTTTTTCAGCTGTTGACTTTTTTCAGCAGTCCAAAAAGCCATCATGTTAATTTGTTATTCCTTACTAGATCTTACAACTGTGAACCAAATTGTATCTTGTTCGCAGCTTATAAATTGATAGCTAACTGAAAATATAGATGTTAATTAATATACCTGTATATAGATTATTACTTTAGTTAATTTTGTAAGTTCATATAATACTATATATCTTATACAATTTTGTAAATTAGTAATGGTTTCTTAAGACATTTTACTATGAAGTTCTGCGATAAAATGTACTTATTTATATACATGATAAAAAAGTTTTTAGATGACGTTTTGACGTTAACAGAATGTCATTATCAAGTCAGTTAAAACTAAAAATGTTTGTAAATACAGTAGTTTTAAAAATATTTTCTGTATACTTTTTCGCACGCCCCTTGTGGAAATCAGCTTCAGTTGACAGCAGGGTCTTAGCCAGCCTACCGTCCAGCCGTCTTTTGGACGGCCATTTTCAAATTTGGACGGCCTTCTAAAAAAGACGGCTTTTGGACGGTAAACATAAACATTGCTTACTTTGCAAGCTGCCAAATCTGCCAAACCAAAGATTCCTAGGCCTAGCTGCCAAAAACCGTAGAATATAACTATATAAGATAATTAGTTGCTTTTTGTTTTTTTTTGTTGTGTTCTTCACTCACACTATAGCTTATCAAAGCTACAAGTACTGTATTTATAGCATGAAAGTGACAACATAATATCAATCATAAGATTAATATATTGGCAAATTTACTTAAATTGTACTACTGTAGTCAGTGTAGTGAGTAGTCACATAATAAATGAATAATTGAATATATTATTTGTTTTTTGAGCGATTCTCAAGTGCGGTCACTGATTACTCCCAGCATTCGAAAATATTCACATTGAATTACTGGTGCATGAAGTGGTGCCATGGTTCCATATGGCAAAATATGGGTGTCATAAATGAAATTTCAAATTTGGACACCCAAGTTGCAAATTCTGGCTAAGACTCTGGTTGACAGGGTTAGAGTGTTTAAATAAAGTTTTTCTATCTATCTACCTAATTTCTCCCTGGTATAAGTACAATCAGGGAGACTGTGAAGCTTGTCAGTAATTGTAACAGAAAGCAGTCATAGGAATATTGTCCGTAGGTAAAGTCAACAACTAAATATTTCTGTTGAAAATTTTTCCAAATTCACCTTATCTGTTCCAGTAAGTTTGACATTCAATTTGTCCAAAAGTTTAGCTGTCTCCTCCTTCTTGAAATTCATGATAGCATCAAAAACCTTTGAGAAAAATTATAGGTCACATGCATGCATGTACTGATCATTCCAGCCGAAAATGCAATTCTGTTCCTAACTATTCATTATCTTGTCATAACTTACTTAAATTGATTAAATACCAATACAGTAGATTGTGGTTGTCTTGCAGTTGTCCAGAAACACAAGAGATCTTATTCTTAGCCTCACAGTAATTGCCAAAGCTTTGTTTTGCATTTAATTTTTGCATACAATTTAATTCAATTTATTTCAATAAGTGTTATCTTGTGACACATACTATTATGCAAAGCTAATATATAAAATAAAGTGTCTGCCACCAGGGTTTGAGATTAGAATTTTTTCCCGGAAGGCCAGAATCAATTTTGCATTTCTTAATTCTTGTATCCAAACTGCTATGTGAAATCTGCTTTCAGTCCTTTATATTATTTAGTTCCCACAATTTCAAAACTAAATGTGATAGGTTTCCCATTAGGTCACTGCAAATCTTGAACCACTAGAATAAAGTGTAGTTAAAAACCTTGAAAATTGGATCCAAGATGAATTGGTTGAATCCTCGGACATAACCTTCAGAGAATGTTTTGGCCCACTTCTTTTCTTTGGCATTGTAGAACTGATCTCCCCACAAGCGCTTCATCAACTTCGCTGGCGTGATCTTGAACTTTGTAGCGTAGAATTCAGCAAACTGTTTCATGGTGAAAGCCCAGCCATGAAGCCCCGATCCAAAACCAACAGTACCTTTCGTAGGATCAACCTTGAAATTAAAAAGACATATCAAGAGTATGTACACTTTATACTTTGCTAACTTCAAAGTTGAAATGTCACTACAGCCTGTTTCATCCGATCAAGGAATCGTGGCATTGGAGATGAGAAAAACCATACTACTTGCTCTATATTTACGATACAGACTATAGAGAAATTTTAAGGAATTTTCAAAGAATTTTCATTAATTGGAAGCTAAAAAGTGGAAGCACTGCAATTTTCAAATATATATATATATATATTAGAGTTGCGACTTAATTAATTTTAAGTAGAAAAGACAACAATATATATATATATATATATATATATATAGAATAGTACATGGGTGCGCGGAAAATCTGGTATTTCCAAGCACCCATGTATTTTTCTGTTTATTATTACAAAAATGTTTATTATTACAAAATTCAGAGAAAAACAATAAAACGTCTGTGGCAATGCGTTTTACAACAAATGGTATTTTCACACGTAAAAATATCGTATTTTTTATTTGTATTTTTATTGTATTTTTTTATCGTATTTTGTGAAAACTGAAAATTGATTTGTGATTCACGAATCATTATTGCAAACCCTGCATATAACCTGAAGCCACATCTGTTGTGTCAAACCATCTGGCCATTTTCTGAACCTTGACCAACTTGAAATTCAAAGGAAATTTTTAAATTTCTTCAAATCTATGTACCTGGATATCTCCCATAGGTCCATCTTCAGTACTGTACGTAGCAATGATTACATTCACACTCTCAACAATACGCTGGAAGGTCTGGTATAGATCTTCCTGTTCTAATTGCAACTCCAACAAGGCACGGTCCATTTTGTTCATGAAAAGAACTGGCCTGATCCTCTCAGCAATGGCCTGACGTAACACTGTCTCCGTCTGCACACACACACCTAAAACAGAAATTGTCCAATGAATAGGTAGAATATACTAACTCTTGAACTAAAGAAGCTAGACATTTGTTCAAATTAATGTCAACTATCATGTACTTGGACTATTTTGAAGTTAACCCCCCCCTCTCAAACATCCTCATACACTTACTATCATCAGAAACAAATATTTTGTCCCTTCCCCTCCAGACAGCAGAAATTTCCTCCGGGGGCAGGGTGGGTCATTTTTGGAACTACCCATTGAATGAGAGGTGAGCAAAATATTTTGAACTTGGAGTTAGCAGCTAAGGCTATGGCAATAATGTCGCTCTATGGCTCCCTAACCTCTGAAGCCAAGTTCATTGGCACTTACCACTAACACAATCGACAACAACTAAAGCACCATCTGTAACACGAAGAGCAGCAGTAACCTCTGACGAGAAATCAACATGACCGGGTGAGTCAATCAAGTTGATCAAGAAACCATTGCCGTCTTTTTCCTGTTCAATGTATTCCATATCTTTCTCATCCAGTTCATAGTACAAAGAAATAGCCCTGAATATAAAAAGAAACACAACATCATACAATGTGCCTTTATAAGGAAAAGTTTTTAAAATCTGAGAGAAAGTGCAGGGTTCGAATTAATTCTCAAAAAATGGTCCTTGAATCGATTTTTTTATTTTAAGGAATTTTCACACTAATTGGAAGTTAATTTAAAATGTGAAAGCACTGCAATTTTCAAATAGTTTATATACATCGCAAACTCGCAAATAGAATTTTGGGTGGAATTATAATCGTTTTTTTAGGTACAATCTAACAACAACATCTTTAAAATATATGATCCTTCATCGCTTTTGCAAAGAACTGAATTTATTATTGTATATTTTTATCAATTTGAGAGACTTTTGATTCGTGATTTTGATCAATTTTTATGAACCCTGTACGTCAATGTACCCTTGTACCAATTAATTTCCGATTATCGGCTCATCCTATGAAATTGTCAAGCAAAACGACAGACTAGTGCCTTGTTGCTGTGGCTCCCTCAAGTGACTACGAACTGGTCAACGACCGCAACAAGTTTAATTAATATTTGCAGTTATTCATTCGACCGCAACAAGTTTAATATTTTCAGTTATTCATCTTGGGGGGATAATCTGAGAATACATCAACATACTTACGTGGACTTAATTGTGATACATCGTTCTTGTTCGTCTTTTCGTGTATCAGTAAAACGAGCCTCGCCAGCCTTTTGCGAAGCAATGATACCAGCTTTACTGACAAGGGAATCAGTCAGGGTTGATTTGCCATGATCAACATGGGCAATAACCGACATGTTCCTGATGTTCGCCTTCTTGTCCATGATCCCACGGATCTAAGGATAAAAATATGATTGGGTCAATCCAAATAACATCCATACCTCCTGCACGGAGTAAATTGGAGCTAATTGGAGTAATTTCAGTAACCAAAAGCTAGGTAGGGTAGGGAAGCCCAGATATTTTTTTTTTGCCTTACAAACATGTTCTTAGGGTGTTGCCGTATACAGAAATATCGACACACATATCGGAAAATTTGAAATTATCTACAATATTAACCCATTGAGTAGCATTGCACCCTGATGCGCCCTACTTTATTATGCCAGATGATTTTAGTCGTCAAGGGGAGATCACTGGTGCTAAATAGGTTAACTGGCCCATATGTATAGTTAACCCATCGAGTCGCATTGTGCATTTCACTCTGCCTTATAGGAATGTTCGGTATGAGAAATTTCCGGTATCGGTATACCGAAAAAATTATACCGATATTATCGGTATACCGGTTTTTCTTTGATAATTATAAAGGAAAATTCTTTAATGGAAAATTGAAGGAAATTTTTGAGTAATTCTAAAAGAGAAAACAATAATTTTGAAGCTGTTTCGAACGACACGTACTCAGTGTAAAATCTCACTGAAGTGTAAATTCTAAATCATTATTGCAGTAGAAAGTTCTTCGAATTGTCATTCAGTAGTAAAATAAAGATTATGGTTTCGCCATATAGTTGGTAAATTTAACACGGTATACCGAAAAATTCCAGTATATCGGAAATTTCGGTATATCGGTATGGTTCAATATCCGATATCGATATACCGATATTGATTTAATACCGATATTTTCGGTATATCGGTATACCGAACAGTCCTACTGTCTTAGACCAGTCGTAAAGATGAAAGCGCTGGCTCTTAATGGGTTAAAGCTTCAATGGCTTCGTTTTTGAGTCACTATCCTCAGTCAGAAGGCCATTTGCTAACCACACTTGCGACGAAGGGCTCCTCGTTCAAAATTTTAAAGTGTGTTGAATCTCAATAGTTCAGACACGAACTGGCACACAACCGTATTGTTTAGAAAAGCACATTCACGCAATTTCACGGTTTGAAACGAAGCCAATTTTTCACAAACTACTGTTTATATGTTACAAATGTATATAAAATGGCTTGGTATAATTATATGACCTAAATAATATATACTGGTATTATTTAAGTACTACAACGTTCACATGACGCAAATATAAATTTATTATGCACTGATTGCACCACAACCACGTAAGAGCCTTCGGTCATTTGAAATTTCTAATTTTCAATGAAAAACACTTTAATATAAGTATAAAATACACAAAATATTCTAACCTGGTCCACTGTAAAGTTCACCTATATAAAAATAAAAGAAATATACGTTATTATGACTGCCGAACAATGTACGATTCACATAATTTGCCATTTCAAAGGTGCTAGAGGGTTATAAAATATATATTATATGCGATGTTAGAGTCGTATTTTCTAACGTTATATGGTGTTAAAGCCGGACAAAGCTGGTCATAAATAAAAGACAACGTATTAATAATGTTTGATAGCTATAGATTGAAACAGGATGGATTAACTTACCATTTTTATTGCTTGGTTTAGTTCGCTGAATCATCAAATTGAACTAACCAAAATGAAGAACAAATTTTAAAGAGGTCGTCGACAAACGACCGCGCATTTAAATCGTAAAATGGAAGAATGGAACGACAGTTCACTCCAGTTCCTCATATAGACCTTTATTTGACGCATTTTATTCCAAATAAATTACAGTACATGCGTACACATGATTGACACGATTTTTGGGGAGGAATCCCCCCAAATCCCGCTCTTTCTCGACATGTCCCTGTCAACGTATCTGGAGTAATGATTTTGTTCATATCTTCGGTTCGTTGCATAGTAAAAGTCAACAATATTAGCTGTGATGACCATGATTAGCTACAGGGACGCCGGAACT